AAAATAGTTTTTATAGATCAGAATGCCTCTGTTTGTGTTGTAATGCAATAGTTTGACATGGATAAACATATTGCAACAGTGACATATTACACCATAGACAGGAGACACTTTGATGTAGGAAAGAAATGTTTTAGTAATAAGTAACATCTACATATAGCTATCCCAATAATTCAGCTTTACCCTACAGCATTAGATGGAAGCAGTATGCAAATATCAAGAGGTTGTAAAATACTACAAATATATCCTTTCCTCATTAAAGCAAAACTCCCATGTTTTTGCAGCGTGGAATATATTTTGTTGACAACTCAGGAAATGACTAAGTCAGTTCAGGAAAAATATCTTAGAAGATACTGCACACCTCTTATATAGGCCTGGTTATGACTGACTCAGGGGACAACCAGATATCCTTGACTGTAACAACTGGTTAACAATTCCTTTACTGTACTTTTTTCCTCTTTTTATCGCCCTCCTGTTTGAAAGGAGAAAAGGATTTACAACTATTGACTCAAAGAGAAGAAAAATGTTGAAGCTGGTCTTGATGGTGGAGAAAGCAGGTAAGGAAGTCTGTCTATTTTGGGAGAAAAGAAAATAAGCCTTCCTTTTTTATGAGTTTACATAATTTAGATCTTAAAGGATGAAAATGGCAAACAATACACAGTTCCCAGACTATAAGGACAGAAAGACAAGAACCTACACCAGGGTAGCCCTATCTGGCAGGAAAAGCCGAGAAAAAAGAAGGTAGTTTTATACGGAAACAGAGTAAGAGCTGGACACTGGAAACCTTCTCCCAAGTCTAGGCTCAAGATAAAATGCCACACAGATGGATAAGCTGCTAATTTACCGAAGTCCAGAAACCTCAGAGCTAGGTATCAAATCTCTCTTAGAGCAAGAAACACCCAAAAAGAACTAGGTGACCCTAGCTCTCCTAGCTGGAGAGCACCAAGCCAGCCTGTCAATCAGACTGAGTTCGCACTCACCCAATATAAGTAATTCAATATTGCAAGACTGGGGATCAGTTAGTTTCTGCTGCACTAAAATCCCTCAGCCTTTCTCTTGTTCCACGCTGGAAAGCTACTCTGCCCTGGAAAAGTCAGTTAATCACACACCCTCTCAAGGACAAGTTGATCATGCTTTAAAAAAAAGTGTCCTGCTTTGGTGACCTTGAAATAAACTGAATTTCCGTGGCCTGTAAGACAAAGTCTGATCATACCTCAGATTCAGAGAAGGTATGAAACTTCAACTATTACAAACAAGAGGGCAGACTCTTCTCACTCCTGAGCTTCTCCACTACCTCCACAAGAAGAAGAAAATATCTCAGAAGCATTTCAATTGCTATCTGGTCTACACACATCAGAATCTTCCATAGTAACCCTACCATCCACATTTTAACCTAGAGCCCTTGTTCTATATCCAAGACCTTTTTTTTTTCCCAAGTATCTGCTGGGATGTGAGGGGGCGCATATGCCAAGATGGTCTACATTCCAAGCAAAGTTTCAGACTTCAGATAAACCACTTCTAATATTTTACTAATGAATGCATATACAGACAATACTTCTAAAAATACGCATTTGCGGAAGACTTTGTTGCCAGTGGCAGGCTGAAAGGATCCTGAAATAGCTGCACTGCCTTTGTAACATGCATTGCAGGCTCTAAGACACATGTAGCTTTTTCAGAATTAATTTTTTCTGAGCTTTCAAAACGAGAAGCTTTTGGTACTCATCTTTTCACCCCTTCCTTTAAAAAACTAGGATAATAAACATAAGGCCAAATGACATGTAAGCACTGTTAGTTAAAATTGTTTGAGAAAACAAGGCTCATTTACCAGAAGGTAAACATTTTTAAAAGTAATTTGAAAGTTATCTTGTTATTTTGATTTGTCTCTCTGTTGTTTTTTTTAACCAGGAATTTTATGCTTGTTTTACTTTCTATCTACACAAGAAAATGCTGCACAAAACCTAAGAGAAGACAGTCACAGATGCCAGCAGAAGGGAGGATTTAAAGGGAAAAACACCCAGTTTACTACAAAAAACAGAGAAGGTAAAATGAAGAGGAAGTAGTTCTGAGATTTGGTTAACTTAATAGGATTCCAGAAAGAGCAGTTGAAATTTCGCACAAGAGAGATTCACACAGGAACGTCTATGAGGAACTGAAAAATCAAGCTGAAGTATGAAGTATCAAATAACCAGTATGCTCAAAAAGCTTCAAGGTGAAAATAAACTAAAATGTGACAGTGACTTAAAAAACAAGCAAAAGCAAGCAGAGCCAATCACTTACTTTCTCAAGGTGATTACAGACTAAAATGTATTGCTACTTTAGAGGAGAGAGATAGAGGAGAATGGGATAAATAAGAAAAAAAAAAAGCAAGTAAATTTAGAAGACAAGATTAAGTGAAATCTGAGGAAGGTGCAGAGGACAGCAGATGAAAAGCTACATCTTTGCTAGGAGAAAAGCAGAAAGTTGGAGGCACAGGGAAAGAATCAAAACCAATTTTCATGGAAAATACAATGAAAACGCAATAGCAAAGTGATTTGAGGAGTGGATCAGTATTGCAGAAAAATAGTTAGGTTTTTATGAAGAGGATTCAGTTAACATAGTAACACAGATCTGTTTAACATAGAGGAAGATAACACTTCTCGGGAGGGAGAACAAACGTGTCCTGAAGCTGCCACTCCTACAAACATTGCCAGCCATGCTGCATACTGGGGAAACAGGAGTAAAGTGCACGTTAAGTGAAGCCAAGGCTGGAGGTTAGCAAAGAAAGGAGGAAGACAAGAAAGCAAGTCAGGGAATTAACTGTATCAATGGGAAAAGCACCAACTGGGCAGAGACACAACTAATAGGAAGCAAGACTTTTCCATCAGTTACTGGACTGGAAGCTGGAAGAGAGCTAAGGAGCAAGGCAGGAAGGCCAAAACAGGTGAGCAGCACTGAGTGAGAAAATGAGACAGAAAGAACACATCCACTAAGTGACAGAAATGTTTGCTAAAGAAAAAGTAAAGCTAACAGTCCCACTGGCACATGGAAAAGATCAACTCAAACTTTACAATTAATATCTAACTCTTCGGTTTCATTTTTTGAGCAGGGGCAGACAGTTCCTGCTTTCAAATGTTCATTTAAATCAGTCAGTCTTCTACATAAATTGATAACCTAGTAGAGATGAAAATATTAATTTTGTTTTGGAAAGGATACTTTTCTTGAAAAGCATGAAGATGCATAATGAAACCAAGAATTCCATTTCTATCTCATGCAAAACATCAACACTAAATAGCATTATGCCTCAAGTGCAGGTGTGGCATATGCCTCTTGCGACACTTACATAACCAAGCTCAGCTGAGTATTAGACATTATTCTTGATAGAATGACCCAACAACACAAAAGAATTAAAGATTTGTACCCATTATTATTTTATGTACCAATATTCCAATCAAAAACATTTTTAAATGGTTATAGAAACAAAATAATAAATGTATAAGCAAAATAGCACTTACATAATGTTCTTTTTCTAGAGTAATAAAATTTCTAATTTTCTCTCAATTTTTATATCCTCAGTTTCACAGAGAAATTCAGTCTAAAAAATTAGTCTCAACTTGTATATTTAAATAAACACTTTTTAAAAAGCATGGAGTTTTAGCTAGATTATAATATATAATAATACTTAAAATAAATACTTAAATCTACTTACTAGAGATTTTAATTTTTTTATACCAGCCATATGAATTGTATAGCCAGCAGAAAACTCAGTTTTGTTGAGTTCCTATTTTATAAGTTTCAAGTTAACACTTATTTTGAAGGACTATGATTAGAATACACGAGACAGTATTTCTTGCCGTTTTAGCTGAATGACACATGAAGGCTATAGTACAGCAAATTTCAAGATAATAGTGAAAAGCACAGTTTAAAAGAGCTGAGAATACAGGACTCAGTTTGGTATGGCTGTAAAAAAACCTTTGTACCCAGAAAGATGGTGAAAAAGACACAAGACCTAAGTACAAGAAAAAAATATTTTTCTGCATGTAGTATGTAAATGGGGAGGAGAGGAAGAGAGACAATCATGACATCAGAAATGTATGTACATAAGCATCAGTAAAGGAAGTGTCACAATTAAATTTATTTTCTCTCTGTTCCAGCGTCTTGACTTCTTAGAGTTTGGGAATCATTTCTAATTCAGTATTTTCTTTGTACGTGTCTTATTATCAGCTGCAGTGTTCGAAGTCAACAAGACTGCATGTGAGCCAGAACGTGTACCTATTTTTAAACCTAACCAATGAAAGATTAAGACGGAGGAGTGTGCATGTTGATCAGGAATATTTATTCATTGAAATGCTGCCATAACCTTTCATTATTAGGTAACAAATATTAGAAACAGTTTCATCTCCAATGCTACACCTGGCAGAAAAACAGCGTTTAGTGGCATACATAATCCAAACTTTCTCACAACTTGGCAACATCTTATGACCTTTTTGCTCTCCCTAACACCTGGAAATCCAAGTTATGATACATTTTTTTAAAAGAAACCTGTGATAACTCTAGGAGCAAGTTTGTAACAGAGGTTGTTTTAGAACCCTGTATATCAGCTGATGATCCAAAAACAAGAGTAGCATTAACTTTGAATAAGATGTTGAACACAATAATGGGACTCTGGTTGTACTACGCATTTTCTGAACTGAGTGACTGCAGCAAGAGACCCAACTGTGCAATTCGCTGATTAAAAGAACCACCAAGTTTCAGAGATGCCAGTTGGATAGATAATATAATGATTGTGCACTTAATAATAAACGTATACACACTTCACCTTATCTTCCTACAGTAGAGATGATTATCTTAAGATGGGAAAACAGAAGCTCATTCATTAGCAAAAAGTTTACAGCAATACTGCAAAGCTGATTTTTGTTTAAACACCAAGCAAGCATGGACATATGAATATTCCTAACCTGTAAAATGATTCCTCCACATTATATCAGCGAAACTCATTGGTGGGCCACTGGGAGGGTAGTGTTTACCTTTCAGAGGTTCATGATCAGTCCTTATCATATCCATTAAGGAATTTTCCAAAGAGTGCAAGTTAAAAGTGTCATAGGGCCTATTCCGGTCCTAGAAAAAAAAAAAAATTAAAAAAAAGACTGTTAGAGAAAAAAATAATTTTCTAATACAGGCTCATTTTGTATTTTCTAAAACTCTGGCGTCCAATTCTACATATCTTCTTGACAGAATTTTTTATATTACAAAAAAATATTATAAATATAAGCATGAAGTTGTTAAAATTATATCCTTCATTTTGTGACTACTCCTTTCACCAGTATAGCGATGTAGAGAGGCTTTTTAATACTTCTAAAAATATACATACTGACAATAGCTATTTCTAAACATTATAATTTAAATAAGAACTTAGAAATAAAGCAATATTCATGTTTACACCAGAGAAGTGAAATTGTTTGAAGTTCTGAGATACTTGTTTTTCAGCTTCATCATTTGCCTTTTGTCACAGTACTACCCGAACATCAGAGCAGAAGCAAGCAATGCTCGAGACACCAGCAGGAACATCTGTTCCAGAAAGTACCTAGTATTTCTTCAAATATCTAACAAAAATATCACAGGTTTAAGAAGAGTAGACTAGATGCAAGTCAACACAAAAAGCAACATAGAATATGCAGCACTGACACTAAGGCACTCAAAAACCTAAGCAAGTGTTGGTTTGTATTGTTTCAGTCTCATTTTTACCGTTGTTCAACTTCTATTTAAGTAAGTAAAAGGGAAAAAAAAAAAAACCCAAATGAAAACACAAATAACCTTTAGCAGCCTATTAAAACAACCAGTTTCAAAGTTCAGGAACAATCTTAGAGACAGAACAACTTACCCATGCCCATGTACCTAGAGCATTGTACACAGTGGGACGGCATACCTGCCTCTTGTAGTTAGAGAGTTCTAAAAAAACACTGATTTTCTTATTCTCATCACTATCATTAAAAAAAAAAGTAAAGCACAAATATGTAAAAGATGGCAGTTTTTCTGTGCACACTCTATTATGCTACAATTAAAAAAACCCCACTAGTATAACATTATACTATACAGACTGAAACCTTCACTGCAATGTCCTCAAAATTCCTGTAAAAATGTTTTTCAATCTGGTTACAACAAGATAATCTTGAAGGAATAAAATTCTAAGTCCTCAGACAAGCAGCAGCAGCATCTGTAGAAAATGCAATAATATGTTTTGTCTTGTTAAGCATTATTTCTCTCAAAATCTCTTTTTCTTAGGTTGTTGTTTTATAAAAACTAAAGGAGAGAATGAGTTAACTGGCATAATTTTCTTTTAATATTTCTGTTCTGGAATTCAATTAAATGCACATTAGAAGTTTGCTGTTACAGAAAGCACTGATATACAGATCTTCTTACTGCCAGAAATCTCACATTCCCACAGTCTGCCTACTCTACAACAAAGATCCAACTTCCTTTCCTCAACATGCGAATGTATTTCCTATAAGCAGACTAGCGTTATTTTCTTCACACATTTATTTCATCTATTGAGCATTTTTTGGCAGTCAAACTTGATGCCCAGAGAACAATATCCGATTTTGTTAGAAGCTGGGCCCCTCACTACAAAAGGGACATTTTGGTCCTGGAGAGGACCAAACAATACCTGATTTTGTTAGAAGCTGGGCCCCTCACTACAAAAGGGACATTCTGGTCCTGGAGAGGATACAGAGGTGGCTGCCAGGCTGGTAAAGGGCTTAGAACACAAGTCGTATGAGGAAAGGCTGAGGGATCCGGGGCTGTTTAGTCCAGAGAAGAGGAGGTTGAGGGGAGACCTCATCACTCTCTACAAATATCTGAAGGGAGGTGGTAGAGAGGCGGTGGTTGGTCTATTCTCCCTAGTGGAGAGTGATAGGACAAGGGGAAATGGATTTAAATTGCACCAGGGGAGGTTCAGGTTGGATATTATGAAGAATTTCTTTACTGAAAGGGTTGTCAGCCATTGGAACAGGCTGCCCAGGGAGGAGGTTGAGTCACCGTCCCTGGAGGTGTTTAAGAGAGGGGTGGATGTTGCGTTGGGGGGAATTGCTTAGTAGGTTGATAGGGCTGGGACAAAGGCTGGAATTGATGATCTTCTGGGTCTCTTCCAGCTGATACAATTCTATGACTCTACGATTCTAAGTACTAAAGTTCAAATGAGCTCACTGACTTTCAATTTTCGTTGTTGATCATATTTAGGTGTTCTACAGCTCCTCAGAATGGCAACATTTGCATAGTGTATATGAAAGAGCATTTGTTCACCTGTCCAAGATGATAAATACATATGGAATATAAAATAAAATGCATGCCTAAGAAGCCTAAAATAGATTTTGGGGAGAGGAGGAAGAAAAAAAAAACCACAACCAGAAACCAAAAACTTGAGGTAATTGTTTTTCCCTAAAAGAAAACTTTATTTTGGTTAAAACAACCCAGTCCTTAGTCATATATAGTAGGAGAGAAGAGTTTGTTGTATTTCATATTCACTTCCTTAAAAGAACTGCAAGGCCAGACTGAAAAGTGTAACTCAGACGTCTTTTTCCTATTTCTTTCTTTTAAATACCGGTATTGCGAATACGTAAGGAGGTCAGGTGTTATAATACTAAACTATGACATTTTTCTGAAGAGAAAACATGAAAGCAAACATACAACTTATATCCTAAATAGGAGTGGAAAAGTATTTTTCAGTAGATCAGTTCCCGGCTCTACTCTACTACATAGCTGTAGCAGAGCTGAGCTGGCAAAACCGGCTGGCAGGAGAGCTAAAGGGCAAGACTGCTGATTTTGCCACAATGACAGCTTATTCCAGCTTTAAACATCCTTGACATTCCAGTCTTAGAGGGCAGGAGTGAGTTCAGAAGAGGACACAGCATATAAATTGAATTTAATTGTCCTTTATTAACATACGTATGTTACAGTCTAAGTATGCTGTTACAGCAGCAAATCCCTGGGAGGTCCTATTTTGTTTTAAAACTGTGGAGCTGTTTCCATGGATGCATGTAGAAAAAATGGGAGGAAAAAAAAACATCATAGCATCAAAGGCAAGGCTAAGCAGGAGATGTTTGCTAGATCTTTCTAACCTTTTAAGGAGCGAAGAAACCTGCAATATATTTTCAAGATGGAATTAGATCCACATTGGACATGGGAAGATCAATTTATACCGAAACCCTTTACCTATGCAATTATAGCACCTCCCACTGAAGTATTTGAGTAAGTTAACTCAAGTAAAGGAAATTAAGACACAACAGATTTCTATGACAGGTCTCCAGTCTCCATCCAATACACATAATGGACCAGCTTCAGGAATGAATCAAAACAGTGCCTGGAAGAGGTGTGTTTATCTCTAGAACAGATGCCTGTGTTGCTTAATTCAGGAGAAGGCTGAGGGGTAATCAGTGTGTCAGCAAATTCCAGGACGGGAAGACATTCTCAAAGTTAACTTAATTGCGAAACAAAGATTATTTAGCAGTACCTGAATATGAAATTGACAGGTATGTGTATCATTTGAACTCAAAAGAGCTTTGTCGCTTTGTGACACCCCACAACGTGGTATGCTTTGTCCTGCCCCGTCAGACTCAGAGCATGGGCGTGTAAGGGCAGGGCATACCTACCACCACTTCAGCTCCCTCCCAATAGATACACAAACCGTGTCCTGACCGGCAAGAGGGAAAGGCAAAGAATGAGAAAAGAATATATAACTACATTAAGGATGATGAAGCTAAGACCAGATCTATAGCTAGGGCCACAATAGATGTTAACAAGACCTTACCACAGCCTGGCTTCCCACTACCTCATTTAGCTTGAAGAGGAATCCCAAAGTAATTGGAACTAACGAACTAAAAAAGGAAGTTACCAACATATTCCATGGCAGAGACAGAGAGACCACACAGCTTGCTCTGAAAACTGAAGCTGTATCTTTTTCTTTCATCTCTGCAGAGGACTATGACAGGAGAGACACTTGACCATTAACTGATTAAATCATAATCACAAAGTGAAAAGTTTTTCACTGAGAAGGCATGTCAAGAATCTAACACATTGCCCAAGCCTAGCTATCGAGAACACTCAAAATCCTTAACCACGTATTTTTAAACAAACTGAATCCTTGTTGGCATGGTCATCCCCATCTGCAGCACAGCATACACGCTGAGCTGAGAGATACACCTGATCTGCCTATTTTTTTTTTGTATGCGAGCAGCAAAACCTCAGACACCTAGACCCTTCCAAAGACACATTTGCCTGTGTCTATATATTTCAGGCCACCTGCTAAATGACTTTCTAGTAAGCTTCCAAACTGCCTGTGTTCTGAACAATGTTTCAGTCAGTTACTTCAGTGTTCTACATTCTCATTCTGCCCTAGATTCCTGCACCAGTATGTGGCACAACGCAGCCCAAGTCTGCTGAGCAACAAGATGGCCTCCACTCACCAAACTACTAACTGTTTCCAGGAGAATTCCAAAACTCCAGTTAGGCTCACTGAAGTCTCAGCATTTCTTACTTGCCAGATTCTGAGACAGTACGTGTAGAATTTCTGTCGGAAGGAAGAGATGAGTTCCTGGGGAACAGTTAAAATTCTTAGGGCTTAAACAACTTTCCTATCAATGCAAACTTCTTCACCGTGGTCACTGCTATGTTTCATTCTTCTGTGCAGCACATAAGCCTGGATTTGGCCGCACAGGACTGCTAAGCATTGCCAACTAAAGCTGAAGTCAATGGGAGCACAGCTTTGAATAAATACAGGGTAAAATGCCAGCTCTGTTTTAAACTGGGCTCGCTCACTCTAGCACCTGCAGCAGGGGTTATTACTAAGAATACAAGGAAAATGAGTTTGTCTCCCTCCAGCATCCCAATCCAAACAAGCAAAAACAGCAACTGCAAAAAAGTATTACAGAAGTTCGGCTTGGGACATGCTCAATCTGCCATGATGGTGCACATGAATGATCACATACAGCAAGCTCTAAATACTCGCTGAGCAGTAGTCTTAAGCTCCTAGCAGCTTCAGCTGTGATGATTTCCCACTTGCATGCTCAGTAAAGTAAAAAATAAGGAAAAATTTAAAAAATATTTCAAAAGATAGAAAATCTGAG